TGAGAATATGATCAAAGATGTGTCGAGTTTAGGGCAAAATTATTGGCAATTGTATCTGATAGTGTGCTAGCATATTCTGCTGTGAAGTAATAAAAAGAAAGATTCAATAAATAAAAAAATAATTAAATGAATAAATAAAAATTTCAATAAAATATAACAAAATATATTTGCAAATTCCCCTAAATATTTCAATAGACGTCGACTATGGTTACAATATCCAAAAATAGTGTTTCTTCCTTGTTTCGCTCGTCAGTGCAATTTAACTATAGGAGAAATTTTCAAAGAATCTACAGAATTTAAACTTGCAATGAAATAATCAATAAAAATAGTTAGCTATTTTAATACTACGCTCCATTCATATTTTATTGGAAAGCTTCGAGACATACAAAAGCAAATTTATTCAAAATATATTACATTAATTTGTCTAGGCAATACCTGTTGGAATTCATATAGTTATTGTTTTAAAAGTTAATAAAATCTCATCAACTTTAAGGCTTAGTACTTCTATTAGTCTAAATAAATATTTAACTTAAATGCAACTATATACATAACTAACTTAAATACCATATTTTTAAGAATTTGGCTACTAAATATGAATCGCCCTTTGAAATTTCAACATATGATTCTAGCGATGAAGAATTGAATCAACCTTCGAATAGCTTAGACGAACTTTATCATCCACAACTGATAACAGCAACTCTACTTAACAACAATTTTTGGCAATCAATAACGTGATTACATTCTTTGCTTCATTCTTATTTGGAGCTCTTAACAAATTACAGTCAGATACTGCACGTCTTTATGATGTATTACAAGCTTTTGGTGGAATATTGAGAATGTGGGAGTAACATTTGAATAATGATTTAGCTCAACGTATGATCCTGCAGTTAGAACAAAGATAGAAGCAATAGGAACAACCATTATTAATATTATCTTTCCTTCTAAATCCAAATATTTATATTATATAGTTTAACAATAATAATAAAAAATTAAATTTTACCTATCTAGCTAAATTTGTTACTTATTATTACAAAGCGTGGTTTAAATGCCCACCAACTTGCATCTTGCTTGAGCTAGAAGACTATAGAAAATGTAATTGGCTTATAACTTGGAAACATATGAACAATTTGGAAAAAAATGTACTGAGATTTTGGGAATTCGCTTTTAATTCAACTTG